AAAAAACAAACTCTATACATATAAAACAAACACACACACACATACAGTGACATTTTAGACCTTCTCCAGAATACTGTATATACTATGGCCACAAGTTTGCATCATGGTGCTGACCCAGAGCCCCTTATTATAGATTCCCAGTGCTTGAAATATAAATCCAATATATTCTATTTGTTAATTATTTAGTCCTCCAGAAAGGCTGTAACTTACTTTAAAACTAAATATGTTTCTTAAAACAGTGGTCAGAGCTACAGACCCATGACAGCCTTACCCAGTTAGCTAGCAGCTAATGACCAGCACCACTGTGCATTTAATAAAAGGAAAGGTAATGCTTTGTCGTGCTGTTGCACAAACAGCACGCTCTTTTGTTTCAATTCGTCAGTTGTCACAAAACAGTTTACTAATTGTACATAATAGGCTAATACTCCTGTGTGCTATAGAACACACTGTATGCTGTACACCCGACTGGTTTTTGTTGCATCAGTCTGCATCTCTCCTTTCATTTGTATTTGCCCTACAGCCCTGCACCGCTCAGACTGCAAAAGATGTGCATGCTCTTTGCGAGCTCGTTCCCAGCTCGTAAACAGCCCGCTCTGCCGTCAATGGTAGTCACTGATAATGCGCCCCTCTGTTTCTCCAATTTGTTTTTTAATATCTTCAGTATGATGCAGTTTCTTGTATTTTTCAGCTTAACTCTCAGTTTTTTTTCCATTTGTTCTCTTAAACTAACTGCAGAATTGAACTAGGTCTTTTTTAAATTCAGAATTCGTAATGCCACAGCTTCCTTTAGTCTCTCTCAAATTATTTAGTCGGGTGTCACTTTCTTTACAATTGCCATGTTGGTCCTTCACCGTCATGGAAGTGGAGGATGTAAAAGGCATTGTCTCTATGGTGACAAATGTTGCCTTAAAACGTGTATTTTGTTGACAAAATGTGCACGTTTCCTATGATACACACACTCATGACTCAATCTTGGTCATTGTTGAACTGGACTCCACGGCAGCCGTTGAAGGTCCTGCATTAATTGCATCAATCACAGTGTTGAAGAACAGAGGAGATACCACATCACCTTTGCTGAAGCTGGTTCTGCATTACATCTGCCAGATATTATGGCTCTTAAGCGTTCTTTTCCACATTGTTCACAGCATACCATAAATCATAGAGGTGGGACTCACCATACATCCCACGATACGATATTATTGCAAATTTTA